AAATTTTTCACCCTCTCTGAACCGTGAAGGAGGTATCAGATTTAACCTGTCTCCTATTTACAATAACTTGTTGACCAGTAAGGGACATAGACATGCTGATCAGGCTAACTGAAAGTAGCTATTCAGCCTTAGCCCAAACAATAGGCTTAATCAAGACCCAATGATAGGGAATTTAGAAACCAATGGGCCTCTAATAAACCAATAGGGGCGTGACTAACCATCCCCACCCAGTCCTCAAACAGGCCACGCTCAGCTTTTTAGCGCAGAGCAACTTCTCGGAGTCTTCACGGAGACTTCAGGGTTGTCTACCGCTGACGAAGCTTCTGTGAGAGAAGCGAAACGTCCTTTTTTGCGTTTTTTTTGTTTTTTTTTGTTTTTTGTTTTTTACCCACAGGTACAGATGACGACTGACAGAACCCTTTCTACGAAAGTGTCAGTTGAGGATTAAGGATTTTATGCCACTTCATACTGTGTCATGAATCAGCCCAAATTGACTTGAAATCAATGTCATTTCATGGGAAGTTTGTAATAATCGTCATCTTTGAAATAAATTATTGCTTCAATATTTGCAATTGTATTCTGGCAAATAAAGTGAAGAGTGACGTAAGTGAGGCTTTTCATCAGCAATATGCAAGTATAAAAATGGTTGAACAAGTACACAATAAATTGTTGCATAATTCTCATGTGAGGAGCAGAATTTGGACCCAGAAGCAGCTCTGACTTGGAAGTTGACAATAAAGCGTTGATCAATGCAAGTACACAGTAACTATGGAGAGCAGGCGTGTATGCAGAAGACACGGAGGAGAGCTGACACTTTGGCTGGGGGAAAGCTTGACGTACTGACTTTGTGCCACTGAGTAATCCGAGTTTACAGACTGTGAGACATCAAGTCTATCTGACAAAATGAAGGACCAAAGCATGAAAGAGTCCACAGCAACTGCATAGCAACTGAAACATTGAGGAAAAAACAGTCACAACAATAATGTTATTACTAATCACTCAAGAAGGATTTTTAAGATTTTACCGAGCCCAATAAATATTTTCAACAAAACAATAAATCTAAATATTTTTAAAACACTCAATCGGACAACTACTTTGTGAGCTGTGTGCAGCAATTATGAAACGAAGATAATACCAAAGTGTAGTTAACTACTGATTAAACGAAGGAAGAAGGAGACAAGCAAAACTTCTAAGGATATTTAGCCCCTTGTGGATGTGAGCCCACAAGGTCTGTGTGCCTTTTTGTTCAATCAATTGTCTTCATAATGGTTGTCTTTCATTTATTGTTTTGTAATGCTATTTCTATTTATATGTTTCATGTCCGTGTTCATGACGAGTTCTCACAGCTTGCCAATGAATAAACCCTGAATTTTTATGGACTTTGTGTCATGCTTCATGCTACATCCTGAGGGAACTACATATGGATCAATATTCTGATTTCTTGGACATAGTATTTTAAAAGGTCTGTAAAGCTCTTTGTTACAGCTTATAATATAACATAAAATTTACTCTAAAAGCCCTTAACAATATTATTCAAATGTGCCAGGTATGTTGTTTTTTTTTTAAGACTCTGGCATTCCATACAAGGTACATCTCTATGTTTCGCTTTTTTTCCCCATGTGATTGGGTAAAGTAGGATCTGAAAATGGACGGCACTCAATGAGTTAATCAAGTCAAAAGAAGGGACTTATATCCCAGGGTGATGTGTGCCAACAAGGCAGGGACCTCCAAACACTTTTCCCTTTGTATGATCTTTCCCTACATGACAGGGGACCTCCTAATATTAAAGTGATGCGGTCATCAGTCATACATCAACTGTCCATCCATCCATCGATTTTCTAATCCGCATCTCCTCGCAAGGGTCGCAGGCTGGATGCTATCCCAGCTGTCGTCGGACAGTAGGTGTGATACACCCTGAATTGGTTGCCAGCCAATCACAGGGTACACATTAACGAACAACCATTGGCGCTCGCACTCACACCTTGGAGTGTTCCATTTACATGCCTTGAATGTTTTTGAAAAGTGGGAGGAAACTGCAGTACTCGGAGAAAACCCACGCAGGCACCAGGAGAACATGCAAACTCCACACAGGAAGGCCGGAACCGATCCCTGCACCTCTGCGCTGTGAGGCCGACGTGCTAAGCAGTAAACCACCATAGCTTCCCATTAGGTTTAGGCTATGTATCGAAAAGACTTTCTTGTAGGTGTTGGGCAGTTACCATTGCATTTGTGCTGTCGTTTGCGTGTGAAAATAGCGATCGTGACCACTTCCCCTTTGTGACATGCCAACACACTCATCTAACTAAGAGCCCTTTATACCCTTAAAATGAAAACCAATAAACTGACAGAATGCCAGTGCAAAAGAATACCGTTTAATCAAGTCCCCCGCTGTCCACACTGAGGTAATACCGTAAGTAAAAAAATTAGTTCTGGTTATTTTCTGTGTCCAAAGGGTGCCACTCACGATATACTACGGTAATGTGCTGTATACTTCCACCGGAAATCGTTGTTACATGAGCCCTGAGCAACTGTGATGTTATTTTTAGTGGCAAAATGGCCACCTCTAACATGGATATTGCTGCTTAATTCATATTCCACAAATGCTATATTTATCAGAATGCTATGTTTAGACTAGTCCAGAGGTGTCAAACTCATTTTTTGTTGCTGGCCACTTTGGAGTTGCATCTTCCCTCTGTTAGAACAGTGAAACCACGAAAATATTTAATTGTCTCATCGCATTATGACTTGAACACAACAAATTAATGCGTTACTAGTTTTTAAATCAGTCAACTATGATAGTTTTTTTTTAATTAGAAGTGAGTGTAAACCGGGTAACAAAATCATTGCAAAATCTAAATGTTTCTGATTACGCATGACAATTTGACATTTCAGTACAGATTTTAGCAAGGATCATGCAAGTTGACACACATGATTTTCTTTCACGGGCCGGCCACACAAAATGAGGCTGCACGCCGGATTTGGACCTTGAGCGTTGAGTTTGACATCTGTGGACTAGTTGGTGTAAGTAGAACAGATTATTGTAAAGAACATTTTGGAGTTGACTTCCCCTTTAAGTGATTTCTTGGTTGAACAGACTTGGGTGTGGTCATTGACCATGAACTCAGCTTTTCACAAATGTAATTATCCACTGTTCACTCCTGAATTAAAAAAGGGGGTAAAGTACTTTTTCATACAGGACCAGATAGCTTTGAATGTTTTTTCCCCCATGAATAAATAAATAAAATGTTTACTTTCATTATCTTGGCATCTTATGAAACACAGAAAAACCCAATCAATCAATCAAACAATCCATCAATCAGTTACACTTTTCTGCTCTCGTTCTCGGCAAAGGCGGACACTTTTTGCTCCCCTCGACTACTCTGCTTTGCTGACTTTGTCTCATGTGCTGTCCTGTGTCTTGATATAGCCTCTGTATTTTCTTTTCTTCCGAAAAGACAAACCAAACCATGGAATTAGTCAGCTGGACTCTCAGCACTATGGATAAAATGTTTTTGACGGAAAGAGCAGGCAGTGAGGAGCCTTCTTGCTCCTCTGAGACGTATGATGCTGGGTACGCAAGGACGTAAGGCTTAGACCCTTGGCAGAAGTGGAGAAGGGTGTGCTTGACAATATTGGTCTTTTGAGAGCAGGTATC